TTTTTTTTTTTTTTTTTCTGTCTTCCCTGCTCGTGCCCAACCCAAGTTCAAAGGCTGACGAGAGAGAAAAACTCATGAGGAGGTTTTACTCTAGGGAAAGTTGTTCAGTGAGGGGGAGTGTGTCGCACAGGGAAAGATGTCAGGCTATTCCTGGCTCTTTCTCAGCCTTGTGGCTGTAACTGCTGCTCAATCCCCCAATGAGGAAAAGGCCACGAAATTTTTGGAGGGTTTTAACTCACAAGCCGAAGACCTGTCTTTTGAAAGTGCACTTGCTGCTTGGGATTATAACACCAATATTACCAACGAGAATGCCCAAAAAATGGTGAGTGCTCATGGCTACACGAGTATTTGTTGCTTCTTAAAGGTTGGGTTACTACCCATACAACTGAAGAGGGAAATCAAAGAAAAACTCTGAGCTGGAAGGTTGGATGTTTATTTGCCTTGGTATTTCTGATTCTGGAGTCCCAGATGACTAAACTTAATTGAACTTGGGGTTCACTTGGAAAAGTGTTACAAAATAATCCACTGGTCTTAATCTAGATTCTTGGAAACCAGTGAACATGCTTTATAAAGTTGCCACCATAATTCTCATCATAGTCAGGGCTTCGAAGCATTTCATGGAAATGCCATAAGTTGGTGATGCAAAAAGGAATATCTAAAGACTCTCTAAAATAGTATATTAACTGGAAAATGCAACTGGAGGCGTAGTGAAAGAGCTAGCTAGTAATTATCTAACAACTGGTCTGTCACAGAGCTCTGCGGGACTTCCAAAGGTCACAGAATCCACGCAGAGCCCTCCAAGAAAAACCAAAGTTAAAACAGTTCTGACAAATCTCAGAATGCTCTGGGAAAGCAAGATGTTTTGTTTGATGAGAGCAAGGGTTTCAGGTTTCTTCTCTTACAGGTCCCAAAGAAGCATCCTTCCACATTTAGTGATGGAAATTGAGTAGCATTATCTCAGAAACGATTTTTGTGTGTGTGTGTGGCACTTGTACAGAAGCTTATTTTTTTGAATGATTAGTAGCTTGCATGTTTAAATTAAATAACTGCCATTCGCTGGGCAGATCAAATCTGAGACCTAGTGTCTCACTTGAAATCTGCCAACAGAGGTTTTTTTTGTTCTATTTTTCTAAAGCTCAAATAAATCCAGGAGATTTTGACAGCACAGTGTTGTCATAGAAGATCATGTTTTTCTCTCATGTTTGCTGCTTATCTCTTTTCATCTCTTCATTGTTGCTTTTTTCTCACTTTTTATTTGATCTCTGTTGGAGGTGCCTGTAGTGTATTGTGTATTTGTTTCTATGCTCAACTGAATGGTCCTGTAGCTGGTCGGAAAGGTGTACCAGCATCATGCCTAAGAGCTCTGAAACGACTGCCAAAGCCCAAATCCTGGATCTACCACTTTCTTGCTGGTTGAACTTGAGCTAGTTAATGAATCTCTCTGCACCTTAGTTTTTCCATCTGTAAAAAATAACATAGCTTTCATGTCTGCTTCATAGGGTCTCTGTGAAGACCGAATGAATACACAAAACCACCAGAATAGAACTTAATGCTTGTGAGCATGGGAGAACAGTAAGGTAGCATTGTCGTTAGTGTGAGAGGGAGTTATAATTGCTGAAGAGACTTGTAGCACTTATGTTGACTGCCCAGAGGCTGAGAAGGCTTGTTATAGAATGATATGTAGTGATGTTTACTGAAATCATCCCTCGATCACTAAGTGCTATTGCTTTTGAATTACACTGGTTGATCAGAGTGAAGGCCAAAAATGAAAGAATATAAATCAGGAAGTGTGGCCAAATTTCAGAAAGTTTGAGCCTTTTAAAGGAAAGTGAAAATACTTGGATGTGAGAAGCAAGGAGGGGGCTCAGTATCTCCTTCCTCAGGCAGTGGTGAAGGGTGCATTAGTGCACTTCGGAGTACCTGTGTGAGTCTACCTGCGGAGGGAGGCAATGGGCAGAGAGGGGAATGACCCTTTCTTCTATTCTCTTATTACATATATTGATATCCCCTCATGAAACAGGCACAGTGGCAGGTGCTATGAGAGGAACTAAGATGAACGGATGCTTAGAAATGGTATGCTGCTGGTGGCCACTTTAGAAATGGAGAATGTTCCCCCGAAGAGAGCAACTGGAATGATTTACGGCAGGGATGGGGAACATCTGGCCGTAGTATACAGCCCATGAAATCTTTTGGGCTGGCCCTGCCAAGATAACCGCAGGAGGAACTGAAAAATCAATAAATCTAGGAGCTCTTTCATAGTTAAATTTTAAGTTGATAATTTTGCATGGCCTGAGAATGGTGTTATAAATATACAAATGGCCCTTGGCAGAAAAAAAAAAATATTCCCCACCCCTGATTTAAGGGTATCAGAGAGAGTTAGGAGGGGAAGCAGAATTAGTTGTACAAAGCCTGACTCAACTCAAAATGAAAAAAAAATTAGTCTGAAGAGAAACAAGAAAGGATAGTGTGTTTACAATTGTATCGGCCAAATCTCTTCATACTAGAAATGTGGTGCCTTTGAAAGCTCAAAAGAGATAAATTTACAACAAATTATAAGGAGGTGCTATTTACAGCACAAGTGGTAAAACTGGTAAGACTTGTAGAACTAGGCCATTCACCCCCCCCC